TCTGGAAAATTATGCTTTGATCTGTTTATTTGGACAATAAGTATACAGATTTGCTCAGACAAGAACGCCAATATTAGAATACAATAAAAAAAAAATAACAAGAAATTTGTTGGATGCTGCAGGTTCCGAAAGCTCTCCTTGAAGGCACACTAGTTATTTATATATACTATACATGAATATATACAGTTAGAACATAACTAATTAACTAACTAACTAACTTACTAAGTCTAAGCAAATAGACCCCTCATGTCATACTTTTGGTAATTAAACATACGTTAAACATGGGCATTGATGTTGTGTAACATAATTATGTCTGACATAAACATATTCCAAGATCACTACAAACATGACTGACATGTTACTTTGCATACTTTTGTTGGCAGAGACACAAACCATACATCGCACATTCTGATGGAGTCATAAGGAGGCATATAACAGGAATATTCTGTGCTCCTACACATTCTCAGCTGTGCCTCTGTTTAAACCATTAGAAACCATTTCATTCAGTTGAGGGAACTTGATCCCACTGGAAATATGCTGCTATAAATTTGAGGAAAGAAAAAAAAATCCTTTATGTGTCAATATATGAAAGTTAAAGTAAGAAAAATGCATCTTAAGCTTAAACTCCTTCATTTTGTTTACTGGTAACCACCCGACTGGAGGTGAGAAATCGGACAGCAGTTACTGCAGTCATTTGTATGCTAATGTAGGTGACATTGTACATCTATTCGTTATTTCAAATTTGAAATATTGTTCCGGATCATAGGCTCACTTTTGGGATCTAATATTTACTCAGTGATGTGCAGACATCCCATCTGGGGCGTCCCGGCCTTGTTCCCGATGCAGCCTGGAGTTCATGACCCAGATCAGCACAATGTGGTTAGAAGATAAGGGGCACATGATATTGGTAAAAGTGGATTGGGTGTCTTGAAAAGCACTGTATAAATGTAGTGTTCATTCATTCATTCATTCATTCATTCATTCAATCATTATGTGCACATACTGTATACACTCACCTAAATTATTATTAGGAACACCATACTAATACGGTGTTTGACCCCCTTTCGCCTTCAGAACTGCCTTAATTCTACGTGGCATTGATTCAACAAGGTG